GATGTTGTCTGTCAGAGCTGGAAGTCAATTTTCTGCACAGAAACAAACGTCAACAACAGTTCGATGTGTGTGAGTAATTGGAGTAAAGGCGGGGGTGAGGAGGGGAAGGCGAAACATTTAAGACGTGAATTGCTAACAAAATTCAATTTTCCACAATATGAGCAAATCTCAATTAAGAAAACGATAGGAAGGTGGTGGGGAAAACAAAAAGGAACTGCAGGCTGAAAATGTTACTTCATTTGCTACTCATTTTGTCAAAGACTTAATGGCACACACACAAATCGATGCAGGTATTAAAAATTTCCTAATGGGAACACGTTCCACATGGTTAACACACAACCGTGTTCTGCGGTGACAAAACAATCGGAGTTTTATACATTGGGGTGGAACCCATATTATAATACATTTAGTCACAATACATTTGAATATATATTTTTCTATAATTATTTTATTATTTATTTCTTTGTAAAGTAAAAAATAATAATTTTATTTTCCGTTCCACCCCAATATTCTCTCTGTCATTTTACACAAATTGTTTGCAAATTGTGTGTGCATGAGTGTGTGCGTATGCACATGTGTATTTATTTGCAAGTGTACATTACTCTTAATGCTCTTGGGGTTGTGACTTGTGGTTATGTTGTAGGTGTTACAACAACCACAACAACAAATGTACTTATGTTCCAAATATCCGAACGAAATAAAGTTACCAACATTAGAAAGAAATTTGCAAACAATTTTTATACCCTACAACACTATGTGTTGAGGGTATTATAAGTTTGATTGGGCCAAAAATTATGTAACACCACGAAATATTGGTTTCCCACATAGGAAAGTATATATGGATCATCCTAGCTCGCCGAGCTGAGTCGATCTAGCTATGTATGTCCGTCCGTCCGTCTGTCCGTCTGTCCGTCTGTCCGTCTGTCCATGTTAATTTGTAATCACTCTACAGGTCGCAATTATGGCCCGATCTTCACGAAATTTGGAATGGAGGTCGGGGTTGGGCCAGAATAGAACCCTATTTCTTTTTGAGATGATCGCCAAATGTTTAGGGGTTGAAATGGACCAAATACTGGAAAAATGTCGGATTTTGCAGTAGCTATACAGGTCGCAATTATAGACCAATCGACGCGGAATTTCGCATGTAGCTAGAGTTTAGGACGGGGAAGAAGCCTACCAATTTGGGTGGGCATCGGATAATATTTAGCGGCTAAAATAGACCATATATTTTGTGTTGATAAAATTCAAAATTTTTCATTAAATCGCGAATATTTTAAATCCCGGCGAAATCACAAAGTCATGACAAGGTTACTTCTGACCTTTACATTGATGTTAACATCCAACAAATCGGATATATAGCAAAATATGTGCGATATATATGTTTATCAAAGAAGATATGCTTGAAAGATCTCTTAAAAGTCGAGAATGGCTGAACTGATTTCGACAGTTGTGTTTAATTCGGAATGGCCTCTTGGCGGGAAAGAAAACACGTCTAAAAAAATCGCATAAAAATATCTCTCTAAAGATGAAAATATTGATTTTGTAAATTTTCTCATATTTTTTCAATTTTGTCATATTTTTGGCATATTTTCATTTTGAATTAAACATTTGGTAATATTTCTACAGCTAACAAAACTAAGTAGTTAGGATATCAGGATATCATATACAGATCGCATTTATGGCCCGATCCTTACGAAATTTTGCATGGGGATAAGATGAGGGTCAGAATAGAAGCCTACTCTTTTTGGAGATGATCGCCATATATTTAGGGGTTGAAATGGACCAAAAAAAAAACTGCAAAATTGTCGGCAGGTCGTAATTATCGCCCGATCCTCACGCACATTTGAAAGGGGGTTACCGGACATTGCAAAAGCCAAGCAGTTTTGGATGGCCATCCAAAAATATTCAATGTGTGAAATAGTTTGCCAACTTTTGTAGACAAAATACGAAAATGTCCATTCCAGAGACTTTTTCGAGAATTCACAAATACAGGAAAGACGCACTTCTGACTATTTCGTTAACGAATATAGTCAAATATCTGTATCTCATATAGATGCGTTTCAGTCAAAAACCAATAATAAATGTTAATCTTTTGCCACTTCTAAGAAATTATAGGTCTTTGGGAAATATTGGTTCCAGATCTAGGAAGACCATTTACGTGCAACATCTACAAATAAATTGGAAATGAGCAAATTAGTTTAAGTTGCTATTATTCGAAAATTAGAGAACGAAACCTGATGGTTTTCTTTTATAATTTGTCAGAATATCTTGTGGAATTCTTTCGAGTATCTCGCCTATATAAACTGTATCGTTTATTATAGTGTTGTAGGGTATTCAACGGTCGGCCCCGCTCGACTGTAGCCTTTGCTTACTTGTTCTATTTACCAAAGTTTCCGTAGCTCGTTTAGTGCATCGTTTTAGAAAATTTATTGGAAGAAAAGAAATATCGAACAAATTGATAGTAGAAGGTTGCCAACAAAAAAAAAAAAAAAATTGACATATTCATTGGCAGTACATGAATGCTTGCTTGCAGGATGGTATAAATGTTTATTGGAATTCCATACTGAATTCCAAAAGTATTGATGTGTATTAGGAACTTTGTATGTCTTGTTTATGGGGTACCATACATGCACTTATATCGTTGAACAATTTAGCATAAAATCTCGAAACATGTTTTAAACTTTTTTGCATGTTAAGAGTAATAAAGTATTGTGTTTATTCGGAACTCAAAACATTGAAACGTGGACAGTAAGCCTTTCTTAGGAGACAAATAATTTAATATGTTTTGAGATCCTATGCGAAAATATTAGGATAACTTTAGAAAATAAAATAAAAACTATTACCGTAAGTTCGAGAGAGTTCAAATTTCGAAAATTCCTAAAATTTGGAAAAAATTCTAGACTTGAAATTTACGACCTAATGGGTGTTTACATTTTTCGGGAGAAACTCATAGAACTCAGGAATACCTCTGTAAAATTTTATCGAAATCGGAGATCCCATATATGTATATGTAATTTGGTGTAATATGCACTCTTCAACAATGATATTTGATACCGGGCATCAGACACTGCTCGAAAATACCTCTGCCAAATATTGTCGAGATCGGTTCAGATTTTTATCCGATATCATCCGATTTTACGGTTATTGTTCACCATATGTGTAATATCAGCTCGAATTGGATAGATTTTTTCATATTTAACCGAATTCGGACCGGCGGAACTTGGCTGTTTTTATACCCTACACCACAAAGTGGCCAGGGTATTATAACGTATTAAAAATTCGGACCGGCGGAACTTGGCTGTTTTTATACCCTACACCACAAGGTGGTCAGGGTATTATGTCTTTGTGCATTTGTTTGTAACTGGCAAAAGGAAACGAGATAGACCCATAGTTCCTATTGATGATCTGCATAGAATCACATTCTGAGTCTATTTATGCATATACGTCCGTCCGTCTGTCCATGTATTTTTGTAAACAAAACACAGTTTGCATTTATTGCCTATCCAGATGAAATTTTGCACAAATCATTTGTTTGGCCCAAGGACGGAGGTAATCGGTCAAAAGGAAATTGGAGGTAATCGGTCAAAATTTAGATATAGCTCCCATATATTTCTTCGTCCGATTTGCCTTTTATTGTGCACCAAACGTGTAATGTCAGTTCGAATAGTATGGAATTTTGCACATGCAACCAAATTAGGCCTGCAAATAAGTATGCCAAATTTGATCGAACTCGGTTCAGAAATATCTATAGCTCCTATATATATTGTTCATCCGATTTGTTATTTTTGTCCTCCACAACCGTAATATGCACTCTGTAACAACAATATTTGGGGAAATATATCAAATACAGCTCAGAAATACCTTTGCTAAATTTTTATCGAGATCGCTTAAGATTTAGATATAGCTCCCATATATAACTTCGTCCGATTTACCTTGTATTGTGCACCAAACGTCTAATGTTTGTCCAAATGGGATGGAATTTGGCACTTATAACCGAAATGAGTCTAGAAGCTAGTATGTCAAATTTGGTGAAGATCGGTTTAGATATAGCTATAGCTCCCATATATATTGTTCATCCGATTTGTTATATTTGTTACCCACAGTCGTAATATGCACTCCGTAACAACGATATTCAGGGAAATATATGAAATACAGCTCAGAAATATCTTTTCCAAATTTTATCGAGATCGGTTCAGAATTGGATATAGCTCCTATATATATCTTTATCTGATTTCAAATTAATTTTGCACCAAATGAGCAATACAAGTCCGAATTTGAAAGGCACAAATGCTTCGGCATATTTAGTTCTTTCAACTTTAAAATATAATAAAAAACATAGCGTGTATGAATGAATTTTCCCATAAAGACTTTTAATTGTTATGTGGAGATCTACTAAATTAGTGAAGTGGTGTAGGGTATCATAAAGTCGGCCCCGCCAAAAAAAAACTTATTGTTTAGGTTCGAGTGTCTATCTTTTAATAACATTTTTCGAACGATTTTCGAAAATTCACACTATTACTACTATTCCATAGAAATTCGTCTCGCCGTCGAGACATATTCCCCCAGAGCATTGGCCAAATTTTCGCATCCAAAAATCCCATTGGTAAACTTGGCGATGATCTCCCGATATTCGGTATTTTGATGATATTAGCGACATTATTCACCGGAATTGTTTCAAATTTAGTATTTGAAGTTCGTAATGGATGCTACAACCTATGACAGAAAATTGTCTGTGCAGGTTCACGTCTTCGTATAGCCCCCATATAACGGTACCTACCGATATTTGGTATTTTAATGACATCTTTTTGCGACATCTATATGGTGAGGTATAAAATTGTTATTCAAACGTTTGGAATGTTTTTTACCTCTTCAATTGTAAACAAACATGTTTTGATTTCAAAAATTTCGAAAAATCTTGACACATGATACGTTGATTAATACATACATACATTATATTAAAAAATACATTTATCAAAATTAATAGCTTTATTAATAATGTCATTGAACTAAAATACAGATTTTAATTATTTGAATTATATTTAATTGGTGTTTAAAGTAATGAAAATATTGAATGGAAATTTTTATTGAAACAGGCAATTATTAGAAAACAAAATATCCAATGGAACTAAACATATTAAAATTGTCACGGCAGAAAATCAATTTTTTGTTTCCGGAAAATTTTTAGAATGTCATCGAATAACACATCGATCTATCTTGCATATGTTTTTATAGCAGTAATTTGTCTCTCGATCGCATCTTTAAGTGCACAGGTGGGTAGACAGAGAGTAAGATATGTTATTGTATCATATGGATCTACTTCCTTATATACTTAGAGAAAGAAAGACAAATAAAGGTTTCCCTATATTTTCAGGAGCGTAACTACATCATAGAATTAACCAAAGTGAGATGCTATCAAAACTCCACACATTTCAAGGCTTTGCAATGTTCGCTTCGAAATGAAAGCAATATACGTGTTTTGGATATACGCATGGAATTGACCACGACAATAAGGGATTTTCAAATTCACTCCGTAATGAAGGGCTATCGTCCCAAGATGCCGACCTTAACAATATATGATGTGAATTTGAGTGCCTGTGATTTTTTGGCCAACTTGAATAGGTTGCGACTCTTTATAACATTGCTGAAGTCATTTAAACGATACTACAATGCCGATGCCAAGTGTCCTTTTCGAAAGGTAAGAGGGAGGAAATTTAATTTTTTTGAAGGATTTTAAATTAAATTTTATTTCATTTTTTTAGAATTTCAATTACACCCTAATCGGATTTAAATTCGACACAAGCCTCTATCCATCGTATCTGCCTGAAGGTGTGTTCACAGCAGTCAACTCTGTAAAATATGAAAATAAATCCATAGCGAAAACCATGTTTTGGGGTCGGGTGGCATATATAAAGTAAAAGTCCGATAGTTCGATGTACATCAAAAATAAAATAACAAATGTCTTTTCTTGGTAAATACCGCAATTTGTACTTAGTTTCATATTCGACTCCTCCTCCCACCATGTTCTTTTTATACCCTCCACCATAGTATGTAGGGTATATTAAGTTTGTCATTCCGTTTGCAACACCTCGAAATATTCGTTTTAGACCCCACAAAGTATATATATTCTTGATCAGCAAAAAATTCTATTCCGTCCGTCTATCCGTCTGGCATCTTGGGATAACCCCACATATAACAGTACCTCCCGATATTCGGTATTTTGATGATTTTAGCGAAATTATTCACCGGAATAGTTTCATATTTCATATTTGATGTTCGTAATAGCTACTACAGCCTATGACAGAAAATTGTCTGTGCAGGTCCACGTCTTCGTATAGCCCCCATATATCGGAACCTCCCGATATTCGGTATTTTGATGATTATTGCGACATTTTTCACCGGAATCGTTTCAAATTTAGTATTTGAAGTTCGCAATGGATACTATGACAGAAAATTGTCTGTGCAGGTCCAAGTCTTCGTATAGCTCCCATATAACGGTACCTCCCTATATTCGATATTTTAATGATTTTAGCGACGTTAATCACCGGAATTGTTTGAAATTTGGTATTTGAAGTTCGTAATGGATACTACAACCTATGACAGAAAATTGTCTGTGCAGGTCCACGTCTTCGTATAACCCCCATATAACGGTACCTCCCGATATTCGGTATTTTGATGATTTTAGCGACATTATTCACCGGAATTGTTTCAAATTTGGTATTTGAAGTTCGTAATGGATACTACAGCTTATGACAGAAAATTGTCTGTGCAGGTCCACGTATTCGTATAGCCACCTTATAACGATACCTCCCGATATTCGGTATTTTGATGATTTTAGCGCATTTCTTCACCGGAATTATTTCAAATTTGGTATTTGAAGTTCATAATGGATACTACAGCCTAAGACAGAAAATTGTCTGTGCAGATCCACGTCTTCGTATAGCACCCATATAACGGTACCTACCGATATTCGGTATTTTGATGATTTTAGTGACATTATTCACCGGAATTGTTTCAAATTTGGTATTTGAAGTTTATGACAGAAAATTGTCTGTGCCGGTCCACGTCTTCGTACAGCCCCCATATAACGTTACCTCCCGATATTCGGTATTTTGATGATTTTAGCGTCATTATTCATTGGAATTGTTTCAAATTCCGTATTTAGAGTTCGTAATGGATACTACAGCCTATGACATAAAATTCTCAATGCAGCTCCAGGTCTTCGTATAAGCCCCATATATCAGTACCTCCCTTTTGACGAGTTTAGGTACAATACCCACCGAAATTGTTTGAGATGTCGTATTTGAAGTTCGTAATGGATGCTACAGCCTATGATAGAAAATTGTCTATGCTGGTCCAGGTCTTCGCACAGCTCCGATATAACGGTACCTCCTTATATACGATATTTTGATGATTTTAGCGACATTATTCACCGTTTTTTTTTTAAGTTTCACATTTGAATATTGCAATGGCTTATGACAAAAGTTACCTATGCAGGTCCATGTCGTCGTATAGACCTTAATATAACAGCTGCATTCGGTATTTTCAGATTTTATCAGAATTTTTAACGGATTTTATTATTTTTTTTTTGAAAATTGGCAAATTCGTCCCAAATGGTGGAGGGTATTAAAAGTGCGACTCGGCCGAACTTACTGATTTTTAAATTGTTCTTTTTTGTAATTAACTCTTGCAATTATGAACGAAATGAAGCAATTTACAACCAGATATGTGTGTGTACCTGTGTAGCTCCAGTGTGATTAATGTATGTAGTTAACTCACACTTCCATGAAATCCATTGAAGTCATTCCGCCACAAGCAATCACCTGCTCTGCTAACTAATCATTCACCCGTAACAATAAAACACATTTGGAATAGTTGCAAAAAAAAAAGAAGAAAGAAAGAAACATGATTCTGCAAGAAAGCTGAACATAAAAACAAAAGTCATTTTAGGTTTATTTGAGAACAAATCCGGATAGTGGTAACTACATATGTAATATATATCGTGTACACTGGTTAAATATTTGTATAACCACAGCTTTATGGCTTCAGAGGGTAGATACCGTTTTGTATGTGACTCAACAAAATATCGTAAGGAATCAGGTGTGAATAAAGAAAATATAGACCTACTCTCCCACAAGGTGTCAAAATTTTCAATATTGGCAACTCTTATAATATTAGACCTCCACTTCCTATGGAGCATTTAAATAGTTGAAATTGTCATAAAATATGTGGTAAAATATGTATATTTTCTGTGCAAACATTACAAAAATGTCAGAATAGTAAGCATTTTGGGGTGGCGGCCTCCCTTATTATTGATTGAAAGCAAAAAATGTCGGAAATAGCATCAAATTTTAGAATAAGTTTAGATTTGTTCGAATAGGTCACTTTGGCACGAATTATGGCCTTAAAACGGCCAATGAAACCGTCAAACGCTGGCCGAATGTTGCTCTGTGGTTTTTTTGGTATTTCGCATTCCCGGCGAAACGCTTGCTTGAGACGCTTGTCACGATCGATTAATACGAGCGGAGAGCGACCGCAGGCTTTTATGGCCGTCCACACCACGCCACACCATCACCATGGCCGGCACTTGAGTTCTGGTGGCCAACCGATGGAGCACATTTTCAGCTTCCCCCTTTGCAAGTAAACACGATCATTTTGTTTTCCTTTCTTTACCAACTGCTGAACAACGAATATTTTCTCATCGGAGTAAACCAAATTCGACAGTTCACCACTTTCGGCCAAGCGAAGCAACTTTTTAGCTTTTTTGAGTCTATTATCTTTCTGTTGCGGTGTATGTTTTTCCCTTTTTTTGGAATGCCAATGGCATCACCCCGAGCTAATTTTTCAATATTTATAGAATGGAATATTACGGCATGTTCAGCTCACGAACCATTTTTCGGCTACTGCGACGCGCGTTTCGATTAAGTCGCTTCTTTACTTTTCGAACCATTTCTGCTGATGTTGCTGTTTTCTTCCGTCCACTTCCTTGACGTCGGGCTACGCTTCCAGTATCACGGTAACGAGCGATGGTTAAATGCTAGAGAGCTCTAACGATAGACGCTTGTGGTTTTCAAGCCAAATATAAAGAAATCTCACTACCTCGCTTGAGTTCCATCACGAATAAATTTTTTTCTGGAAAATTCTCACCAAAATTCTTTTGTACGGTTGTAAGAAATATAATGAGCTGTCACTGGAATAATTTTAACATCTGTCTGGCGAGTGGCTTAGAAATGACAGCAATCTGAAGTTGGTGGTACTTTTTTCATCTCACCCTATATATATAACTCTTTCTCTTTTTATACCCTCCACCATGGGTAGGAGGGTATATTAACTTTGTCATTCCGTTTGTAACACCTCTAAATATTCGTCGTAGACCCCATAAAGTATATATATTCATAATCAGCATAAAATTCTAAGACGATTTAGCGATGTCCGTCTGTCTGTCCGTCTGTCTGTCTGTCTGTCTGTCCGTCTGTCTGTCTGTTGAAATCACGATAGAGCCCACATTATTTGACGTAGACCTTTGAAATTTGGCACAAGTGTGTGTATTGTCCCTAGGATGGTTGATATTGGAAATGGGATATATCGGTCCACGTTTTGGTATAACCCCCATATAACGGTACCTCCCGATATTCGGTATTTTGATTATTTTTGCCACATTTTTCCACGGATTTGTCTAAAAATTGACCTCTGTAAGTCGTAATGGATTCAAGCTCCAGTGGGGTAACATTATATGTATAGGTCCACGTTTTCATGTAGCCCCCATATAACGGTACCTCCCGTTATTCGGTATTTTGATGATTTTAGCGACAGTATTTAAAGGAATCGTTCCAAATTTGGTGTTTGAAGTTCGTAATACATACTGCAGCATAAAAAAGAAAATGGGCCATGTAGGTTCACGTCTTCGTATAGCCCCCATATAACGGTACCCCCCGATATTCGGTATTTCATGATTTTAGCGACATTACTTAAAGGAATCGTTCCAAATTTGGTGTTTGAAGTTCGTAATACGTACTGCAGCATAAGAAAGAAAATGGGCCATGTAGGTCCCCGCCTTCGTATAGCCACCATATACCGTACCCCCCGATATTCGGTATTTTGATGATTTTAGGGGCATTATTTACCGGGATTGTTTTAAATTTCGCATGTGAAGTTCGTAATGGATACTTCAGCCCATCCCAGAAAATTGTCTGTGCAGGTCCACGTCATCGTATATATAACGGTACCCCCTATATTCAGTATTTTGATGATTTTAGCTATATTTTAAACAGATTTTTCTTCAAGTTTCGCATTTAAATATTGTAATAACTTATGACAAAATTTGACTATGCAGGTCCACGTCGTCGTATAGCCATTCGGCATTTTTAAGATTTTAACAGATTTTTTTTTTTGAAAATTGCCAAATTTGTACCAAATGGTGGAGGGTATTAAAAGTTCGGCCCGGCCGAACTTACAGTTTTTTTACTTGTTATAAGGTAAATATTTTCTTTGAATAATTTGTGGGGGAGGTACCAGAAGAAGTGGACCTATGTTGCCCCTCTCCGAACTGAATCTAAATTTGAGAATAATATTACGATGAACCAAGCCTCGAGAGTTATCGTAACAGATACACGGACGTACGGACACTCGTAAATCGACTCCAAATATCCTGAAACGGATTTGGTTGAAAGAGACCTAGGATCTAAAGCCGTTATTTCTGTGAGGCACGTTTTGGCCATATCAAGTGATATATAACCTCTGTATCCATATGGCTGAGGGTATAATGACATGCAACAAGTTTTCTCATCAAATAAGTATTTCTTCATTTTCAAAATTAAATAAAAATCGCATATATGATTTGAATAGATTTGGGCACGTATGACAAAGTTCAGTCTGCTTACAAGTATGTCGATTTTGATAAAATTCGGTTTAGCTTCAGCTCCGATATATATGTTTTACCCGTTTTCTAGTAAAGTTTTTTAATAGTCATAACCTGCTCTCTAGA